AAATGGCTCCAAAATTTGTTTTCCTCTTCATTTTGGTGGCCTTAATGAGCCCGTTTCAATCCCTTGGCCAGCGCGAATTTAGCCCGATTGAAGGCCCGAATAAAGATCAAAAGGCTCGATTATTTTCCGATATTGCCGTGGAAGAGCACAACAAACAAGCAAACACGTCGCTAAAGCTCGACCGCGTCATCAAAGCAGAAGTGCGAGAAAGTGACGAAGGCGGGCCCATCGAAGATTTCCCGATTTATCAATATAGAGTTCGGTTCACAGCTTTCGATGGAAAAATCAAAAAGTTGTACGAAGCTCTCGTGTCTCAACCGTTAGAAGCGCAGTTCACATCGCTCGATTCCTTTCGCGAAGTGAAGAAAAAATAAAATCGATCGATATATTATTCTAAGGAAGATGAAATAATTAATGTAATTAACCATTTTAATTAACTGCACTGTCATGAGTTTGTTCTTTAGAAGGTTCATCAATGAAAAGGGTTTGAAGAAGAAATTTGGACTTACAATAGTAACTACTTGGGAATTATGAACTAGAGTGCACTAACTAAATGGCCTTCATTCATACAAAAGAAATAAAAAATGAATAATAACAGTACAAAATAAGTAAGTGAATAATAATGTACAGTACAAATAAGTAAGATATGTATTAGATAGTAATATTGTTTTAGTATATATATATATATATATATATATACTTTCTAATTGAAATGACACTATAAAATAAACAATCGTGACATAAAAGTTCGTTTTTATTAAAATAAATATGATTTGAAATGAAACTCTAAAATAAACAAGCGTAACATAAATGTTCATTTTTATTAAAAGAAATATGACGTATCCACTGTATCTCAAACATAAATTTGTGAGACGGGCATCAATGTCAAATGACTAACAGTTGTGTTGATTGATAAATAATTAGTGCTTTAAGATAATGAATGATTTTTTATTTTTTATGAGAAAGTGCAAAATTTGGTCCTCTAAACAGAACTAGTAAACTAATTAAAGAGTAGTCATGTTTTTTTATTTTTCAAAAGTTAAACATATATTAAAGCTCAAAAGTAATATACTCCGTTAACCGGTCCAATCAACCTCCTATTAACAAAGAAGAGACAAAAATCACACTCAAATAGGAGACGAAAATAACTCCCAAAATTGTTACAACGAGACAACAACTGTCACGTCTTTGAATGTGGGTTGAACTTAAAAGTGATAGACTTTGAAATTTTCAATTTGTTATCCATTCTATCGGTCCATTAATCTAACGGTTAGACAGTCAGACGTTTCATACTTTTTGAGTAATAATACCTATTTATACAACTATAATGATAAATGTCATATGGCATTTAATTGTCACCCAAACAAACTGGGCACATGAAGTGGCGTAACAGTTAGTCGAGTTGACTTATTATATATTTCTAATAAAAATTTATACACACTAGTATGCGACTTGTGCATTTGCACAAATATAAATAAATTATTGTGAGTCTGTATGCATATAATAATTAATTATTTTTCTTTCACTTTTTTGCAAACCAAATTTACTTAAAAGAGTTGGAATATTTTTTTTAAAATTACGTTTATCTAATTGGATGTAATGTTTATTTTGGTACGTCTTTTATTTGTGAATTATTTATTTAAAAATTTCAAATATATTTTTATTTTCAAAAAAAAAAAAATTAAATTTAACAACAATAATAACATCTAATCACATTATACAGTCAACACATTATATGGTCAACTGTCATTAATCAAAAGTTTAAAATAATTTTTGTAATTTTAAAGTGATGAGTATTAATTATTTAATGATTAAATGAAAGATTAAATACATCAAAATGTAACGATTTTTGGAGAGAAAATTATTAAATTGCCACATAGGTAAAAATTAAATAGGTTTTATTAAATGTTTTGAGCTAGTAATTATATATATATAGATATATTTTTTATTTTCAAAAAAAAAA